TTTTTATGACCTGTCCAGCTGGCTATTTACGACATATAATCGTAAATCGGCATTACTGTCTTTAGAAGTAATATTTCTAACATAAAAATCGCTACTTATTCACTAGTTTTCCATTACATGGTGGCTCTGAGTGAACAATGCATCTCACAATGATTGTTCTGTCGTGCAATTTATTGTGTTATTGTGTTTGAATGTGTTATAGTGCTTTATGATTGATTGATTGATTGTATATTGTTTAACGCCGAGTCGGCAATTTTTCAGCCATATTTCGGCGGATAGTGCTTTATGAAAGTGCTTTATGAAAGTGATTGACTAGAAAGAGGTAAAAAAAAACAAAATACAAGCGTTGTCCGTAAAGTTTAAAAAATAAATGACAGTCGTGTCGTTGATATTTATCATTAACATATGTTTAATACTTTACTTAGTGTGAATTAAAAAATGTAAAATTTCATTTAATTTTAAATGCCTGATGGCTTCATAATTAGACTTGTAATGGAGACCCGGGGAATCGCACAATTTTAATAAAAAAGAATCATTTATTGTTTCCATCAATTACATTTGTATTTTATGAAATGTTTCTGAAATCTTGCTGACTTTTACGTTATGAGGTTAAAAAAGTTATCATACATGCAAAATTGGAATGTTCAAAGTTTCAAAATGACTGAGAATTCAAAGTTAGAACATATTCAAACAAGATCAGAACTGTTTTAAACATGGAATATGCACACCGTAAATTTATATATTTCAATGTATTTTGTAAGCTGATATCTGGATAAGCAGCTTCCATTATTTTTCAAGTGACACAATGTTAGATAACAGAAAATTCCTGTAATTTTTTTTTATATAATTTTTACGGGCCTCTCTTGCGAACACAGATTTTATTTATTTGCTTCACCTGCACAGGGATACTTTGAGCTATGGCTGCACTATTACAGGTTATGGGGTCATAGTTTCAACCTTGTATGTACATGTATACAGCGTATCTAATATGGCTGTGCATTTGTTTTTGCATTGTCACTGCTTATTGCTATGCCAATACTGCTTGCATTTATTGACATATTAAGGACTTTGTTTTTACCCTCATTGAAGATTGATTGTTGTTTATTGCTAAGGCAATAATACTACTTTTTATGGACATATATTTGCTATAATCGTTCTAGTAACATGTTCATATAAATCATAAATTGCGATTTTGTCACATGCCTACTTGTGGCGCAGACTGTGCAGCAGCACAGTCTTGTGGTGGTTATTGGGGTTACAAGTAGGCTCATTGAACTCTACATTTCAACATTTTAATAAATGTTTTCAAGTGTTGACCAGTCAGTAAACACATGTACAGTGTACCCAGAGTTCACATTTTCTAGAGATGCCATTACAAGGCTGTATATTGATGCCTCGACTCCTGTACTTAAGTGGCCGTGACATATTTAGCCAAATAAAATATTTACAACTTGAGTACTTTTATTATTATGTTGTTTGATACAATAATTCAACTAGGAATCCCTGATTTTAAAATTAGTTCATCTTTGATATAGAAAAATCAACAATGAATAGGGAAAGAACAAAGTACGATAAGCAGTAATCTGAAGCAAAAACTTTTATCTTAAACTTTTCTTTTATCAAAATGACATTGAACTATTGTTATTAATATAAATCGGTGCTTCTCATACTTGGAACCTTTTTTAATATTATGAGGATGTGTCCTAATAAAATACGTTTACAAGTCCATTTAGAATAAGTTAAACTCTTTTAGTACGTACAAAGATAAAGTAATTTTTCAGAAATAATGAAGTTTTCAGGTATACCCGGCAAGGTTCTTATCAGTTCATTGTAAAAGTTTATACATATAACGAAGTTAGAATGTAAGGAAAATTCGGTTATAACAAACTGGTATTGTGTAAGTTAGAATTTTAAAATAATTGAATTTATTTCATTAATAGCAAATTTTACAAGGTCAACAGTTTTAAATCATTAAACGGATATAATTAATAAAGAATTTGTATTTGAAATTCAAAAAATTTAAACCACAAAGTAAATTGTTACTTCCCTATACAATGTATTTGTTTTGTAGACATACTTGCAGAGGAAAAAAAATTCTGCATCATGAATTTGCTATCATGGAAACTTAACAGAATTCGGTGTATGGATACATGTAATTAATTTAGCATATAGCGAAGTAAATTTGCAGAACCCAAAACTTTGCTACAACCGGCTATAACTAGCTTTTACTTTTATTTAGTACCCAGAATTTTGTTTTGTTCAGATAAAAATTGTTAATTTCCATATTCTAGGTTGTATTCTTTGTGTTTTAAATGCATACATAACTTACAAACTTATAAACTATAATTTACAAAATTGTAAGGATTTACGAGCATTTAATTCAATGTAAGGAGTGCTTACATTTTTGAGTTTCTGTTTCATTTTTAGTATAGAATTTGAACGTATATTTAATTACGAATGACCTTTTTTTAAGTTTCCCCTAAACAATCAAGGTAGAAAGGTACACAACCAACCTCATCTGCCATAAATAGATACAAATATGATATTTATATACAGCACTATAGAGAGGGAACATATGACTATCAACTTAACACCTTAAGGTAAGTTACTCGTGAGCTTTTTAGAAAAGTTCACGCAGAAGCTTTTACTTCAAAACTACTCATTAAAATTCAATTTTTATAACATATGTAAATTCAACAATGTAAATTTTGTAATATTCAATGAAAAAACGGCCCAAAAATGTACAAAGAAGCAAGATTTATGAGGGACTATTTCTTTTGGTGGAGGGATATTTAGCAGAAAATTCTGCAAATCTACACATTTATAAAATTTAATGTAATGGAAGTTTAGGCTCACATACTTTTACTCGGAGAATATTTTCCGTTTTGATATTGCTAAAAATATTTAATATAATTCTTAATTAATATTTTTAGACTACGCTTTACTCCCCTCTCAACAGACTTTTCCAAAAAATGAAAATATATTAAAGAAGTCAAGATCAAATTTACACCATTTTTTTTTTTACCTGAAAATCACATATTTTGACAAATGTTTCAAAATTAACATCACTGACCCCACCTTTTTCTTTTATTTCTTTAAACTATGCGATACTTGTGACTGATCAGCACTTAAGTCGTAAAAAAGTTTGATATAAAATATTTTTTATTGCCTATTAAGTTTTTTAATACCCCAAATATGTTATTTTTTAGTGCAAAAAAGTTACGCAATAATTTATGCGCATTAATTTGCTAGATTTGTTTAATGATAAATATTATTCAAACTATTTAAAGTAAAATAAAATTATATTTATTGCCATGCTTACATCTGATCAAATATAATAAGGGTTAAAGTAATTAACCAAAGAGATGAAATTTAAGTGCAAAAAGGTCAACTTAAATGTACCGTAGATCAGTAGGATGCACACTGACCCCCTATTTTCTTTGCGATTTTGAGTTACACTTTATGAGTACTTATCCAAAATATACTTCTAAAAAAAATCCTTGATTTAACAAATTTCAGGAGTGACTTACCTTAAGCATAACAAAGTGATCTCTCCCTCGAAAACATCTCTCAGGTTCAGTGCATTAGTCATTCAGAAAATACACGGACTACCTAACCTGTTTTATCTCAAATTCCATCAAAAACAGATTTATTTACTTCGCTTTATAAACTAGGACACCTTGTATGCAATTACACCTCCTTTAGCAAGGTTATTTTTAGATCTAGACACAGGTATTTCTCAAGTAGTTGGTCTTTTAAATTTTTTTTTCAATTACAGTACAATAATTGCCAGATTAAAGATTATATTAACTTTAACAGATCATTGTCTGTAATTAGGTGTTTGTCATGTGTGCGACTGTCTTCAACTCTTTCATTCATGCGTAAGCATCCCTCATTTGTAAAACATTTTATTGAATTCTGGGGGTATGTCTGTATTATCCTTCTTTACATGCAATTTTTGAGCTGTGTTTACTTGTACACGATATTCAAAGTGTATAATTTTACGCAACTGGGTTAAGGCCTACCCAAAGGTAAATCAATGTTTGCAGAGCCTCGGGAATTCGATTCTGACGTCACGGTGAAATTGTACAAATGGATAATAATTTTCTTTTTCATATACTCTAACATACTTTGATATTTCATGATTATTGTCAATATTAATCAATGTGTAACTTATCTTGTCATTATAACACTATTCGAATGTAAAATCAAAGCCAACTTGATCTCGCTGTACTTACAAATACGACGTCATAGGCTAGTTTGACACGAAGTTTCTCTGTAGTTGAGACGCAGATAAAGCTATTAGTGGATTTGAAAATATGAAAATTAAATCTAAATAAGCGTGATCTGACTATAACTGATTCATATTTTTGAATGCATTAATTAATAGTACACAATCTTATTTAATTGATAACTATTAAGTCTCTTATAGAGCCACAGTTATGCACTTTTATACAGAAACGTACTACAATCACAGGTACTACCCCTCCAAAATCTCAAAGTTCAACGATATCCGCTTGATTATAAATTATTATGTTTTATACATATGTAGCTACTGTCCCTACTACTTTGAAAAGTGCTGGGAGCAAGTTGTACGCTGTTGATTTTTTCCGTAGTTTTACATTTCTTCAATGCATATAGTGTAAACGCACATAGTTTATCAAAAGTCGGCTAAATTTAATATAATACCCGGGCATGGAGAAGTTGCATCCAGCACTTTTCAGCACTTTTCGGGTTAAGAAATTTGTCTTAAAGAAACACAATCAATTTCATAGTGAAAAATTATCCGTATATCGTTGAAATTTTACGATCTTTGTATCCGTACATATTTTTTTCTGATTTTAAACATGTCACGTGACAAACAGCTGATGTACGTGAAATCGTGATAGACGAACTCGGTTGAGACCCCATACAAACATATGCATTAGTATACTCTCCATTAAGGTTGGTCCCAACTCAAACGCGTCATCCCAATTTACCGGATATGATAATCGATACAAATGGGTAAAACCAAAACCATCTTTACAAGTTCTACCGGGTTTGTACCGTAATCGGTTTAGGTATTATATAGCTCTCAGCATATCCGGTTGGCGCCTTTAACAGTAGATAACGTTTGTTTCTGTATTTTCCCGGGATGCCAAGGTTTAAAGGCAGGTTGTTACATGTAAAGACTCTCTTGTTAGAAAATTTAAAGGATAAGACAAAGGAAGAACTAATCGAATAAACAAAACAGATTCAAAATGTGACAAAAAGAGTGGTGTGCCTGTAAGTGTAAGTGACTCGCTAGTGTTAGATCACAGCTATGGCGGTGACGGCGAAGATATTCAAGTCGTTAGGGAAGAAGAGACATATTCGGTTCAGGAAGATGAGAAAAGAAGTCAGTGGAGAGTGGGCAGACGTGTAGTTGAGCTGGGGGTCCTTGCCGATGGTCTTAGCAGTTGCCAGTTATGTGGACAGCCACTGCAATTGTCGAATTGTGTTGGGGAAAACAAATTCGGCCTTGCCCATGTATTACTCATCAAGTGCCAATTTACAGACTGCAGACTTATGAACGAGGTGCCAACAGATAGTCAACATCAGACACCAAATGGCAGAAATGCATGGGATGTAAATACCAAACTAGCAGCAGGTAATGTGCATTTTATTACATTATACATAGTTTAATCACATGTTCAAATATATTGGATCACGTGGGTTATTTTTATTTTAAGATCAGTATAGTCAGTATATAAACCTGATAAATGTGACTTACTTTTTTAAGAGTACCCCTATTCTCAAACATAGTGACATACAGATGCTCACCAATGTACATGTACCTAAATATACACACACACTTACAGAAAATTAACAAGGACAACCATGTCACATATTTGCTTTCCATGTTGACTTTTTAATAATTTTGAAAATTAATTTCAGGAATGTTAAACGAAGGATTTGGTGAAACACATGTGAATTCACTCCTGGCTGCTTTGAATATACCCAGTGTTTCTAGGAAGACCCTGAAGAATAGAGAAAGAGAGGTCGGGCAACAACTAGGACAGATGGCAGAAGAAACTTGTAATAAAAGTCTACAGGAGGAGATGAAATTGTAATTGTTATGCCATTTTCTAGCAAAATATGACATAGTAATATTTTTATTTGAAGTCTAGCGGTTAGTTTTGATGGCTGGCAAAAACGGGGTACTGGTAGAGCTTACAATAGTCTTACAGGTAAGTTTACAAGTATCAAATCTCATACATTGTACTGACTCAGACTAATTGCCACATGGACATTAGTGGCCCTGTGCATATGAGAAATAACTTTTTTATGCATGAACATGTGATTAATTAATGTTTTACATTACACTACTCTGATGTCTACATGCAACCATTGTCTCAAGCCAAAGAAGTCAACAAATAGCTTTTACTACCCAAGGCTGCTCGATCATAAAAAGTATAGTAATCTTGAATATTTACGCCTCTCTATTGCCACTTCATATTCAGTCAATGACATTTCTGTTTCCATCGCAATGGAAATCAACAATTAATATCAGTAGTATGCAAAGAATATTTCGTGCACTATGATTGGTCATTTGGGTCATCAAAGTTCATAGTCCAACTATGCTTTACTCGCATTGGTCAATGTTTTAATGAGCTGTCAAATATTCTCTTCTTGTTCAACCACGGCCAGAATGGAAGAGGATTGTATGTTTTGGCCATGGTTTTTGACGACGGTGTCTAACTTATAAAGTGGTATATAGATATCTTTTTTTTTACAGGGCATGCCTCTTTGTATGGCGAAAAATCAAAGAAAATCGTCGGTTTTTCAGTCAGAGGAAAATAATGTAGAGTATGTGCTGCAGCCAAGTTAAAGGTTAATCCTCCCAGGCAGCACAAGTGCTGCAAGAACTGGAGCGGATGGGTAAAGGCCATGGAGCCTGCCAGGGCCTGTGAGATGTTGGAGAAGATCGAAACTGTAGGGGGAAAAGTAAGCACATCAAGAAAAAAAACAATCCAACAGTTTTGAAGACTAATTGTACAATTTAATCAGTCAAAACTTAGAAATTTTATATGCTGTACAACATATTAAATGATTTCAAGGAGATAAAGTAAGAAAATCCCATATATGGCCTATAAATTTCTTCAAAATTAAATTATCGTTTTTATTATTACTATTTGTGGTTTCCCTATCTCCTCGACTTGATCAATGTAAGGGTGGGTTGAATTAGTCAGACCGGATGTTAGCTTTTTCATCGTAAAGTCTGAAACCAATAACGGTTTTGAGTTTTCCGGAAATTTTCACTGATTTTGCTGGTTCATTTAAAAATTTCGAGTGGGGCGCATTCCTCTCGAAAAATATTCAAGTATAATATCAGATATTGGAATCTTACGCATATTTTTGAACATGTTTTTTTCCGAAAAGAATGTGTCCCATGTTTAAAAAGATATTTATGAGTGTCGTTTGGTCAGTTTGTGCATGCAGTGAGGAGTTACCTTATATAATTTCATGTTGTTAAAAACATCAAATTGAAAGGATTTTATCTGTCATAAGAAAAGTTACTGTAAATTTATAACAGAGATATAAATTTATATTAGTATAAATACACTATTTATACGTGGTAAATATCGTAGGTTATATAAATACATGTAGTTTTTTAATATAGCCTAATCGCTCAAATACACTCATTCTTAACAATGGAGAAATGTATGTATTCGCGTTAGTCTATGCTTTCCACATTTGCATTTCTATTCTGGATCATTGTTTAACAGAGGCCCTCTACAGTAGCTAGGTTATAACCATAATAGGCCTATTTACTAATTTTTTTTTCAACATTTGACAAACCGTCAAACTGTTCTCTTGCCGTCAAAATGGGCAGGATATGACGTCAAATGTGCGGTTGAGGGACTTACAATTTTTCCTATAAGTGATCATTGCGGATAAAATATTTTTAAGTGCTTAAAAAAATCAATTTTTGATATATGTAATGCGGAAAATTTAAATAAAGAACATCATTACTATTTAGTACATTTATTTAATTAGTCTACATATCTATGTACATATGTTATATATTTTCGGAACACTTTGATGTTTATATTATGCTCACACATTGATATTTTCATTTAGACTAATTATTATCAAAGGTGATCAGCATGTCCAGAGAGAGAGAGAGAGAGAGAGAGAGAGAGAGAGAGAGAGAGAGAGAGAGAGAGAGAGAGAGCTAAATTTACAATGTTATTTTTATTATTCAACTTTTATATAGCGCCATATCTAATTACATGCATGTAATTACCCTAAAGCGCTTTACACGTAGAAAATATAAAACAAAGGACGAGTACAATATAATAAGCAGAATGGTAAAACCATCATTATTTTTTTAAATAAAAAAAAACAACTGGATGCTTCATAAACTATAACTAGTGACTAAAAAGATGTGTTTTAAGCTTTCTTTTAAAAAAGTCAAGTGACTGTTCTTTCCGAAGATCCAGCAAGAGGCAGTTCAAAAGGGTGGCCGAGGATACATCAAACCTTCTTTCTCCATACATCTTACTTTGAGTGCGTGCTTTTACAAGGTACAGTGAATCCCCAGATCGAAGTGAAAGTTGTTGGCGATAGACCTGAACAAGTTTCTGGGCATATTCCGGGGCTAGTTTCTGTAAGGCCTTGAAAGTATACAACAGAATTTTATATTCTGTACGATATGTCACAGGTAACCAGTGATGACTAATACGATTTTTTATCATATGCTCATATTTCCTCAAACGTATCACTAATCTGGCGGCAGTGTTTTGAACTTTCTGCAACATTTGCATGGATTTGGCATTAAGGCCAAACAGTAGTGCATTGCCATAATCAAGTCGAGATGTCACTAGTGATCTAACGAGTGTCCTGCGTGCATCCTCTGTTTTGAGTGATCTTATTCTACCAATGTTACAAAGATGGAAATAAAAGGATCTTGAAGCTGAATTTATTTGGAAATCAATATTAAGTTTGCTGTCGAAAAACCCCAAGATTATTTACACAGGAAGCATTAGTGATGACTAATCCACCAGAAGATAGCTTACGTTCTGAAAATTCATTTGCCAAATCTAATCCCAACCCGATCCAAACATGAGTTCGATCCAGATCCAGTCGACCCAGTTCTTAATACATAAAAATCAATAAAAACTGCATTTTTTATCTAAATATGTCAAAAACAATCTACAAAGATTGTATATAAATCATTATATGAAACATAAAATTTTTATTTAAAAACCTTAATGGGGAGAGGACATTTAATGTCAAACTTCCTTTAAATATCAAGTGTATACCAGTTGTGCAATGATACAAAAAGGAAACAAAAACCATTTATTGAATTTCCGCATTCTATGTTTATATTGAAAAAAAAAAGATCTGCATCATATTTAACTATTGTACTAAAAACGACAAAAAATGGTTAATAAACAAAATGACTATTTTTTTTTTGGTATCGATAACTTCTCACGATGAACAATACAAGCTTCTGAAAAACAATATGATGAACCCAGGACATAAATTTTAGAAAATTAACGCCACACATGTGTCAGCAAATGAAAAATGTTTCTTTGGATTAAATGCTGTCTAACATTTTTGTTATGCTAAGTATAAGACCACTTTTACCCACTGAATTCTCGACAGATTTTCAGTCTCCCCCGTGGCGCATTTGCTGGAGCGTCTGCTCTAGAGTCGAAGTTCGAGTACCACTCTAGGACGTGGAAACTATTCCTCCGGATGAGACTGTATAACGAAGTTCCCATTCGCAGTAGAACAAAGATCCCTCCCCGCTCAAAGGCCCTGAGTGCCGAGCATAGGTCAGAATTTGCAGTTCCAAATCAGTAAAAATGGTTAGCGTCTCCATATAAGGGAAAAAATTCTATTAAGAAAATTTAAACAATATAATTATATAAGTCTAAATTGCAATGAAAAAGAAAGTGCAGGGGACCGTTCAACATGGGGCGTTAACTCCCACATGACACCTGATTCCACCTTTACATTTTTAGAGGCCTTGTTTGTGTTGTCTACATAAACAATTGAGCTTAAACAATTTTGTTTATTTCCATATATTATACCTACAAGGGGTAGGGCTGGGCTTCAATGAACAATCAAAGTTTAACATTGGAATAAACAGGAAAAATCCTTAAAAAAATTTGATATCAATAACAACAAAGCCATGATTGATCATATTTATATGGAAGCATCGTCAGGTAGAAAATACTCGATTTTCTTCACATCAAGACCTTCGGGTGTAGGGCGAGGCCACATTGGAGAATCAAAGTTTCACATATGTATATATATCATACAAGAAAAAAATAATAAACATTTTCTCCTCAAGAACATCAAAGCCATAATTAGTTAGATTTATATGGGAGCATCCTCAGATAGTGTACATTTAAATTACTTCAAATCATGGATGTAGGTTGGGACACCATTGAACGCTCACATATATATAAAGATCTTTTTTAGAATCTTCTTCTCAAGAACAACAAAGCCTAGATTGTTAATATTAATATGGTTTTCAGGTTGTAAGATTTGAGATTATTTAAATCAAGAACTTGGGAGTAGGGTAGACCCACATTGTGCGATCACGGTTTCACATAGAAATATACAGGGGAAATTATAAGAATCGACATCTACTGAACAACACAGTCTTGACTGGTTATATGTATATGAAAGCATTGTTGCAACCACTATTGAAACAAAGACCACAATTGAAATAATAATATCAATAGTGGTTGAGAGTGCATTTCAATAGTCACCATGGTTAGTAACCACTATTGAAATATGACCACTATTGAAATAATTATATCAATAGTGGTTGAGACTGCATTTCAATAACAAACATAGCTAGTAGCCACTATTGAAATACGACCCCAATAGATTTTTCAATAGTCGTTACCAACTATGTTTGCTATTGAAATGCACTCTCAACCACTATTGATATAATTATCTCAATAGTGGTTATTATTTCAATAGTGGTTGCAACAAAGCATTCTGATGTAATGTAGATTCAACTTGTTAAAATCATTAACCTTGGTATAGGCTGTGGCAAAATGAAAGTTCAAACTTAATAGAAAAACAGCCAAAGTAAGTCACCCATTGGGAGAATAGAAATAATACCTTGCTTCTTGGTCGAAGACAATTCCTCAGATAAAAATCCATATTTAAGAATGGATTAAAAGAAAAGTTCCTAAATCTCTTCAAAAAGTATTTTAAAATTCAATAGAAAAACCTTCAGAACTTTCATTGTTTTTTTTTATATATATATTTTGAGCGCCATTATAGGGCTTCCTCTTTAATATCAATCCTTCAAGTTCCACAGCGGTGTTTCTATCCAATAATTTAAAGTGTTCAGTATTAATTATTAAGCTTTCCAACTCCACATCATGTAATTCATTGTCCCCACATGAGTATAATGCCTAATAAAATCTCTCAATTTCAGATCAAATAGCGGACTGTCCAGTGATAATACCATTATTCGTGACAAGCTTATTTACAGTTTTATTGATAATAATTTCTCCAAAATGAGAAAATAATAAGCAGGTTTCTCTTTACACTCTATCCATTTAAGCCTGATTCCACAAATAAATCTGAAATATAGTCTTTTCTAATTTCTTCAAGCATGGTTTGTTTTTCTTTTATTTTTTTAAGAGTGTCTGAAGAATAACTAAATGTACGATCATTAAGATTACTTTCTTGTTTCATTATTTCTTCTTTTATTTTCTTTAATCTTCTTTTATTCTAGATGATATCATTAGGCAATTGTTACCCCCATTATTTCTAATGATAATCATAATAGGGCGTTGTTTAAAAACGATGTTTGTTCTGTTGCCCAGTGAAAGCAAACTTCGGAAGAAACGTGTCGTTTGAAAAAGACCCATTTATTTTACAGTTCGGTAACCTGAGGCGGAGTGTGGTCTAAGTAACAAAGATGTTATTTACCTGGAGACGCCCAGTACTCAAGATGTCAAAAATTTATATACACTTAGCAGTAGCAGTACACAGGAAGTCTGTGTTTGGTAATCTGGATACGAAAGATCGCCAACTTATGCTTAGAAAAATAGAAGAATATCTTTACACTAAAAAATTATCAAATCCCTAAAATATTTCTTTATTTTAGACTTTAAACCAATCAGAAATTATAAAGTGAAGGCACTCATACTTTATCCAAATGGAATAAACAACACTCAAAAGGAGTTGCGTTTTGATGGCCGTTCTGCAAAAGGATATCATTATCCACCCATTCTATTGCCGAGTTAAGGCCAATTTTTGACATATGGGCTGTTTTTGTTGGATAAATAACCTGCATGGTAAGAAATATAAGAGTCGGGGAAAAAATCTACTGTTGCAGAACGGTAAGGAGTATGTCACGTGACCTCCTATATCACATGATCTGCGCATGGGCAGAATAATTGCAGATGTACATTAAAATTGGAGAGGACTACTTTGAAATATTTTCAACAATGCAACCCTATAACATTTCTTTTTTTGGAATTTATTCAATTAGTTCTCGGACTTTTTGATCACCCCTCGTACAATCAAAGTATACTTCCGCTGACAGGATGTTGCTTTCGATTGCATTGCTCTTCTTTTGAATGTTTGCTAATGTATATCAATAAACCAGGGCGCTTAGCATTCAAAAAGAAAAAAAAAGCTGGGCTCTACATTGTAATTTATTGCATAAAATCTAGTCTTCTCCGTAGAAGGCATATACTATGTAAAGTTCCCATTTCTACAAGGCTGTTTTATTTTAAAAGAGAAATATAACAAGTTATCTTTGTCATTTAAATGATGCAATAAAAAAGACGAAAAATCAGAAGATTCATTGATTGATTGTATATTGTTTAACGTCCCCCTTGAGAATTTTTCACTCATATGGAGATGTCACCGATGCCGGTGAAAGGCTTCAAATTTAGACCTATACTCGACACTCAGGGCCATTGAGCAGTGAGGGTTCTTTATCGTGCCAACGCCTAGTACCGTGACACGGGACCTACGTTTTTATGGTCATATCCGAAAGACCCGTGACTTTCACTTCTAGTGCCGAGCGCTTGGCGAAGGAACAGTCACTACCTATGTTTACGTCTTAGGTATGACGCGGCGCCGCGATCGAGAATCGAACCCGGGCCTCCCGATCACGAAGCGAACGCTCTACCACTAGGCTACCATGACCGGTGAAAAATCAGAAGGAAACCCTACATAATAGCAGTCAACTGTTTTGTGAATATTATCTATATTCCAAATTTGCTAGAGTGTAGATTTTGAAAAACTATCAACAGAGGAAAGATGTTTTGTCATATGGGAATCTTTCGCATGCACGGATCTAGAGGGGGGGGGTCGGGGGGGGGGGGGGGGGGTCAGGACCCACCCCCCTGGAATTTAACAGATAAAAAAAAGTATATACTAAAGCAAGAAAATAGCTAATAACCCCCCCCCCTGGTATCGAAAATACCCTGGAAAATTTTTCTGGATCCGCGCCTGTTTCGGCTATTGGTCACAATTCATAAAATATTTAATGGTAATTTCATTTCTTTTTATAAAAATAAGTATTATTATATCTAAAAATGTGATTCAATAGAATGAAATCAATTTCAATTTAAGTTTTCAATATCATAATAAAACAGCAAAATTAATAGATAGATCTATAAAAAAAACCCTATGATTATTTAATTTATATCAGCTGATTTTTCTTAAATCAAAGTAATCTCATTTATAAAGATTTAACAAAAAAAAACCCCACTTTATTCACAAAGGGGAAAGTAACTGAAATTCAAATCAAGCATTAGAAGTGCTTTTTAGGACGGTTATTTATGGAATATAATTATGTTAATTTCCTCAACAGAGATGAGATAAAATTAACTCTTGAAACTTAAAAAATATAATTGTGTTGCAGCATCGACTGGGAATTTATACTCTTTGTCGCCAGACAACAATTTAATTCTTGTAAAAAAAAAATCTGTATTGATATTTCATGTTCGGCAAGTGTATAAATTTCTCGAATAATCAATAATTGTATTCAAACATTTTGAACGTGCCCCAAAGTTTTTAGCTGAACTTAAATCAACCTGATTGCGAAAGTAGTAAAGAAATGTGGTGCGGCAAGCAAGTTTCTCTTTTCCTTCTCTGGAATTTCATAGTAAGTATTTTAGGATTGTACCTTGACCCATTTTCATGATTTTTCTGTTAATTGGTAATAACTGGAAATTTAGATTACCCCCTTTACGAAATTGGTATATTTCTCATCTTTATATTTTGTGTCTGCTAAAAATTATATGTCATTGTTAATAATACCTTTAAGAATTTTAAATAAATTATTAAACATCAGAAAGGTGGAAACACACGACAGACTGTTTTACATAATGTTTACTCATTAAAGGAGGATAAGTTAAGATGTTCTAGTAGAGAGAGAATTCTGGCAAGAAATAAGCAAATTGAAGGGTAACCGAGCTATCGAATTAACTTATTGCATTAAAATAAAACACATTGGACGGCCGTAAAATCAGACGTTGACTTTCATATTCTAATTCAAGAAGGAAGAAATTATCTAGTTTCCCTTGTTTTCAATTCAGACTAGTTTTTTTCTTTCTTTATTTTTTTTTTTTCAAAAATTATAAATAATGATAGAGAGCAAAAAAATTGTGAAAAGAAATAAAATTAAAATAAAATCCTTTATAAGATAAGCATTGGAAACAAAAAAAAGATGGAAAAACTAAATAATTCAAAGAATGGAAGCATTTATAAAAAATGAAAAATAAATACTTTATGTAACATTACTAAGTTTTATGTTTCTTATAAAATCTATAAGCTCAAAGCCACTTAATTTGAAGATCCTCTTTACTCCAGTGAAGAAGGTTTTTTGAACAATGACAAAAATATATATTGTATAAATGTGTAAATGTTGCTGTTGGCTATTTGATTTACACTATATGATACCTAGCATTTACCCAAAGGTGAAATATACAAAGAAGGCATGGTATATATAGAAATCACTATAGAGAAAACACATGTGATTGACATCTTTTATTCATTTATTATGGCTTTTTAAAATGGTAAGGATTTTTGATTTATTTACTTTAGCATTAAACGGTAAATTATTTTTTGTAGAATTTAAATTTAAGGACAGATCACTGTAACTGCATAAAATACCTTAGAATCAGACATCTTTTGTGTGCACTGTAGAGAGAAGACTACATGTCATCGCGTCTATCAGTGAACTTTTTAACTTCGTATTTACAATGTAGTACGAGAGAAGCTAAATTTGATTTTACTGTTACAGTAATATTTGGGATACAATACATTCATTATGATGTCTAGAAGCCGTATAGAAAGAAAAAAATTAAGAAATCTGAACGGAAAATGAAAAGGATCTTTATTTATGACCTTTTTCCTGATGTTTTTTTTCTTGCAATACTTGTATAAGCAAATTCATTTAAAAATCACATTAAGGTTCTACAAATTACTTATCGACAACAACTATGTGTATGAGATGAAAATAATAACAAAACATTCAATCTTTTAATTTTAATTCTGTATGAGTCATGTTAATTGTTTGGTATTTTCTTAAAATTGGTGATATTAGAAAATTTTACAAAGGGTTATGTTCAATAACTTTGCGGTATGAAATTTTCCTTATTTATAGCTTTTTTCATAAGACCTAAAGGATTACACTGTTTGTGACGTGCTGACGCTTTGCTTGTAGAGAACTTAAAATACTACGTCACATTCTCGCCACATCAAAGGACGTAACCGCGATCGCGTCTCTCCCACGCTAAAGTCGGTCAGCTGCAACATACAGCTTTTTTGTGTGAAAAAAAAATGGAATAGACAGTCCCGATGTCGTTTTCTTGAATATTACCTGCATAGTTAAATGTCTTTAAACCTTGAAATAAAGCATTTTATGATTTTTTTCAGTCCATTAAGAATATTTGCATTGGTCGATTATTGTATTCTATCGCAAAATTTACTTTTTCCATATTTGCGTACATGTATAAAAATCAAGTAGTGTATGATTGGATTTATTAGTTACGCGTATCAGCCCAAGTCATGCATTCTGAGATTGTTGCAATTTCATACAAAATATTTTTGAAAAATAGAGACCCTCTCTATGCGTATATTCGAGAGAAATGGTAAAGAGGGAAGGCCGGGGAGACGTGTGCATTTACATACAAATTATCGATTGAAGTTCAATTTATTTTTAAGTTTTGATGAATTTTGTATATGTAGTATAATTAATACCAAAAGACAGAATATAAAGTCTAAATCTAAGTACACGTGCACTTTCTTATTCCTAGAGATTGGTCTGGCAGATTTTGAAAATAAATAGACTGTTCTCGAAAAAAAAAATCTATCATCGATCAGTAAAAGAATAAATAATCTGTCCTTGATAGTACTTCTAACCCCCAATCCCCACCCGAAATGGAGTTTCCCTTTGTCTTTGGCTTGTCAAACTTTTTTCATATGCAAAAAAGTTATCCGTCCCTAACTTACTTACATGAAAATATGAAAATAACTGGATCGAATTTCACCAACCCCTCTCCTTGGCGCCCCTTTACTCACACATTGTATGTACATTCATTTTCACTGTAGTGCGATAGCGTTAGTACAATGTAAATATTCCATTTGTAGTAAGAATCGGTGATAAATATTCTCTAAATGTCGTATTAGATAAAGCATGGCGCAATAGATCGGGGAAAAATTAATTGAATCGCACAATTATTAAACATTGTCTTTATAGTATGTGATAAAAAGTTGTCATACAGTGAGTTTGTGAAATCGTTCCTTTTCTAATCCCCTTCCCCCATATATGCAGGATGTGGATGTTTGCAAAATCTCTGCGTACGCAGCCCTCAGTATTGTGTTCCCTGTTATGGGTATTAAGAAAATAAATGTAATACTATTTACATGTACTTAGCGAAATCTCAATGTTATAAAGGATTGCGAAAATGTGTTTTGGAGTACTCTTTTTAGTCTTTTACATAATTCACAGTATTTAATTCTGCAGCAGTACATGTATGTCGTATATGAGCAGGTTTAATGTTTGCTTACTGATAATAAACAAAAAAAAATCAGGGTGCCATATTAATGAAAATATCTGATCATGTTTTAAACATCAATGAAACAATAGAGTGAAATACATGTATACAGCCATTGAAACGTTTCCTGGGGAGAGAGAGAGAGAGAGAGAGAGAGAGAGAGAGAGAGAGAGAGAGAGAGAGAAACTATGATACATGTGTATTTTTTTCAAATAGGTACAAGTTCTAATGTAGTATTCTGACATAATTAATGACAATTGTAAATAGTTCTCTTCTTGACAGAAATGTTCGTCAATGTATGGATATTAAAAGTACATATTGTACTGGTATGATACGGTTGTTTGGGTATACATGTAAAAAAAAATCTGTGTATACTTAGTTCTCAAGTCTTTCATTTCATAGGCGTCGGAAGCAAAATGAAAAAAGGGGGTTAGACTAACAAAAAACGTAGACCTCAATTTTAATGCCTTAATTATGTATATAGTTGCAAAAAAAGTGGGGACCCCCCCCCCCCTCCCCGGTTACGACGCCTATGCACTCCATGGTTTAATACATAAACGGAATATTTTTTTTCCTACAGAAAAATCATTTCTTATCAGCAGTGATTTGAAACAATCTAAATTCATGTACTATACAATCCAAGAATGACCAGGACGAATACTTAAAATACAACGGAAATTGATATCAATCATGCAAATATTTTATATCGCATGTATACAGGGCATACATGTATACAGAAAAGGCAAATGCTATAAAATAAAATTCTCACCTCGGCTTCATTGTATTATGGACTATGCATATAATATAAAAATGCTTTTTTCACTTGTTAAATAAGATTTGTGCAGAAAGGACGACTGGACTGTCTGGCCCTTTTTGTAAACCCGTTAAATGTCGGCAATGTGTATTGCAGCTGACCGACTTTAGCGTGGGAGAGACGCGATCTCGGTTACGTCCTTTGATGTGGTAAGAATGTGACGTAGTATTTAAAGTTCTCGACAAGCAAAGCGCCAGCACGTCACAAACAGTGTAATCCTTTAGGTCTTATGAAAAAAGCTCTATCTCAATCGAGCTAAACTCTCAAGTGAGCCGTCTGTCTATCCGCCTTTCTGTCATTCCGTCAATCCGTAAATTTTTCCCTTTTTCTGCTTCTTCTCAAGATTAATTGCGTCAAATTTAAACAAATTTGGTACGAAACAGTCTTGGGTTCAGGAGAGTTTTACTGTTAAAAGGACGGATCACCCCCCCCCCCCTTAAAAGATAATATAATTTTTTGAAAAAGACATAAAAAACCTTGGGTCACTGAAAATCCTTAGAACCACTACATTTGTCAAAAAGCTTCGAAATTACGTGTAGGTTTCCTGATTTTGTGTTGAAATTAAACAGTTTATTTATGGTCCAACGGGGTATTATAGGGTACAAAAGTAATTTTTTAATATACACAAAAAATATCTAGAAAAATTTTCTCAAGAAAAGTAGAACTCAATTAAAAGCCTACTGAGGTAATATTCGTTCGAAAATGTTAAAGTAATTATGGTCCTGACGGAAGCAATCCGCCGCGAAGTCACCGTGCGACGTCTATAAATAGATAACATGCCTGAACAAAGGAGTAAAAAGTTCAGTACAACCAAGAGAATGATATTTTCTTTGGTAAAAAAAAAAAGAAACAAAAAAAAAACAAAAACAAAAACAAAACAAAACAAAACAAAAAAAAAAACCAAAAAAAAAAAAAAAAAAAAAAAACAAAAAAAAAAAAACACATTATGTAAAAATGAAATACTTTAAGTCATATGTTCTTATTGCAGAGATGATAATTCCAAACTGTCGGATAAAATCTTTTTTTTTAAATCTTCTACATGAGATCGTAAAAATCACTATATCCCGTTTGCAACACGATTCTAGCAGAACTTTCATTAAACTGGAGAATAAAATATTAGATAGAAACGTAGGATAGTCCTTTCAAGGCATGCAGGGTAAAGTTGGACTTTTATTTCAGTTTTTTTACGAACTTCAGAAGAAAGACTACTTGGGGTGTAAAAACGCTGTACATGTATGTCTTCGACATATAAGTCCTGATTAATACCGCATGAATCGCACAAATACTTTT